TTCTGCATCCTACTTTGGTGAGTGGCATCTGGGGTCTTAAAATCTTGCAAGCGGCCATCTAAGATGCATCAATTGGTCCCAACCACCTGGAGTAAAGGAGCATGAAGAACACCAAAGACACAAGGAAAGTATTAGTCCAAGAGACAGAAAGGGCCACCACATAAACCAGAGACCTCATCAGCCTGAGACCAGAAGAACTAGATGGTGCCCGGCTACTACCAATGACCGCCCTGACAGGGAACACAACAGAGAGTCCCTGATGGAGCGGCAGAAAGGTGGGGTGCAGAACTCAAATTCTGGTAAGAAGACCAGACTTAACGGTCTGACTGAGACTGGAGGAATCCCGGAAAGTATGGCCCCCCGGATTCTCTATCAGCCTAGAACTAAAACAATTTCCGTGGCCAACTCTTCAGACAGGGATTGGACTGGACTGTGAGACATAAAGTGATACTCGTAAGGAGTGTGCCTCTTAGCTCAAGTAGACACAAGAGATTAAATAGGCAGCTTCTGTCCGGAGGTGAGATGGGAAGGCAGAGAGGGTTAGGAGTTGGGTGAATGGACATGGGGAATCAGGGGTGGAAAGGAGGAGTGTGCTGTCACAGTATGCGGAGAGCAGTTAGAGTCACATAACAATGTATGTATAAATCTTTGTATGGCAGATCAACTTGAAATGTAAACTTCATTTAAACTACAACAATAAAAAAAAGAAGAAAATACAAATACTGAATTAAAAAAAAAAAAAAAAAAAAAGGCCGGCTTAAAATGTTAAAAAGCAAAGATGTCACCTTGAGGCCTACAGGGGCCTGACCCAAGCCCTGGTATTTCAATAGCCTCATATGCATGCAAAAGCTGGACAATGAATAACAAAGACTGAAGAAAAATTGATGCCTCTGAATTATGGTGTTAGCAAAGAATACATAATGTACGATGGACTGCCAGAAGAATGAACAAATCTGTCTTAGAAGAAGTACAGCCGGAATGCTCCTTAGAAGGGAGGATGACAAGACTTCATCTTATGTACTTTGGACATGTTATCAGGAGACACCACTCCCTGGAGAAAGGACATCATGCTGGGTAAAGTAGAGGGGGCATCAAAAGAGAGGAAGACCCTCAATGAGATGGACTGACACAGTGGCTGCAACAATGGGCTCAAGCACAGCAACGATTGTGAGGATGGCACAGGATCGGGCAGTGTTTCATTCTGTTGTACACAGGGTCACTATGATTCGGAACCGACTTAACAGCACTTAACAATAACAATGCCTGTTATTCAAGGTGCAAAGTAACAAACAGTGTCATCCTTTCAAAACAAAAAGAAAATAAGCTCTGATAGGCAGAACCTTTAGCCCTTGAGAGTCAGGTAGTCTGCTCCCTTCATTCCCTAGTTTAGATGAAGAAAATGAGACCAAGAGAGGCTCTTGCCCAAGACCAGAGATCACAGAGCTAGCTAGCAAGTGGCAAAGCTGAACACTGAACTAGACCGAGATTCGGTCAGGATGCCAGAACATGAAATTATGTTCATACTTTTTCATTACAGGTTTGACCAAAATTTCCCATCTTCTTAAAAAGTATCCCATTCCACTAAGTAGGCCTTCTACAATGCTAAAATTAAGCTTTAGCACTGGAATTTGACACACTAAAATATAACCCCAAATCATCAATTAAGTCACTGATCTTTCACAAACGCCAGCATAATGCAGCATTATAAGGCAGAACATTAATGACATGTTACTCTCTATCCTACTGCACTATGATGGCAACTTGAAAAAGCAATGAAGGTCACAGGCTCATTGAGAGAAGCACTTCTAAAAGTAATGGAAAAAGACAGCTACTGACGGCCCTTTAAAAAAGATACTGAGTCAGGGTCAAGATGACTTCAGGTCGGATTTTACAATTTCAGTCGCCAGTTCCCTGACCTTCTCTCACTCTCTCTCTCTCTCTCTCAAACACTGATTTGTTTTCAACCTGACTAATAGGGTCATTCATAAAGTAAACTAACAACAACCTTTCCCGTCCCATGTTCACAAACACTACATGTGGTAGAAGCAAGGATACTAGGCAGTTATTCTGAGACCTGATTAAAATATAACTACTGTCATAAAAACTTTCTAAAGAAAAGTTACAGAACCATTTGTTCTAATGCCAAACTTTACCTGGGCTTATGAAATTTAAAGTAACCAAAAACTCGATCTCACTTGAGAAGCGAAACCAAAATGACATTTGAACCCAAGTTCAATGTCCGCATGCCCTTCAATTTCAAAGGAGGTGCTTTATTTATTAAAAGAGATTTAGACAATGAAAATCAACACTACCGAAATATCTACGATCCTATGGCATACACAGTGTGTCCGAAGATACACATTATGGTAAAGTTTCTGACTGCTTGTGAATTACATGTAGCTCTTTCTGTAAGCGCCCTCCCCAGTCTCCCACCCCCAAAAGTGTAACTGGAATAGGCCTTAAGAACCACCTAAGCACCTGTGGCCTTAAGAGGCTTTAACCAATTCTCAAGGTTTCCTACAACACAGGTTCAAACGTTCTATTTTGGGTCAAGGAGGCTCTCTTGCACCGCAAATGACCGCAAGTGGACAAGATCAGTGTAGGAGAATGCAATCGCGAGTGGTTTTTCACCAGGCGAGCGGGCCCCCGCTGCTACACTCCAAAAAGGACAGCAGTCAGGTCAAGCCTGGGTCGGCGAAGAATGCTGCTGGCTGTCTGGGGCTCACGACAGTCTATCTGCTTGAGATCCCCGCAGCCCGTGGCCGGGCCGTGGTTTCAGGAGCACGCGAGGAAGCAAGGATCCCCGGGGACAGAGGAAAGAGCGAGATTATGAGCCTGCAGGTGTCGCTGGGGGAGAGGACGAGGTCGCCTGCGGCCAGCACAGCCAAGTGACTAAGAGTGCGGCTCTGGACTCCGACGAACTGGTCACATTCCCGGGCTGTGACCTTGAACACGTGGCTAGACCGCTCTGCGCCTCAGTTTCCTCTCTATAACCGGGTTTGTCCAAGCGGAAAGCGCACCCCGGAGCGCTTGGCGAGACGCCTGGCACATAGTAAGCGCTCCCTACATGTGGGCTACTCCCGGCTCTCTGGCTCGTCTGGCGCCTGAGGAAGCGAGAAAGTCCCGGGTAGGGGAGTCCCCAGGAGGCGGACCCGGGGCTGGAGGTGGGGAACCGGGCCGGGGACTCACCGAGCACGTCAGCGGAGCGGTGTCGGGCCACGAAGCACGCGTCGTCCCCGTAGCACGCGCCCTTCTTGAGGAGGCCCTTACGGAAGTCCTTGCCGAAGCCGCAGCCAGCCGTCACCAGCCCGTAGTCGCCGCCGCCGCCGCCGCTGCCGGCCCTGGAGTCAGTCTGCGAAAGGCTGCCGAGCACGGCGCGGGCCACCAGCCGCCCGTACGAGAGGACCGAGAACATCGCCGCCACCGCCCCCCCGAGGAGGCGGGGGGCCCGGGGAGCAGGAGGACGCCGAGGCCCGGAGCCGGCTCTTTCCTCAGCCGCAGCCGCGCCGCCGCCGGGGAGCTCGTCAGGGCGGCGCACAGTCGCCGCCGGCGCCCCTGCCCGACGCACGGGGCCTCGCACACGCTCCGCCGCGCGCACGGGAGCCAGAGCGAGGTCAGAGCTGGCGGCTCCTCCGCCTCAGTCCGACTCGGGTCCCGGCTGCAGCCGCTGCTGCCGCCGCCATTTTCCGCTCCACTAGCGTGTTCCGGGCCGAGCCAGCGGTACCGCCCCCTTCCTGGCCCCGCCTCCAGCCCCGCCCACGATTCGCGGCCCAGGCCCAAGCTCCGCCCCCTCGGGCACGCTGCCCTATGCAGTCACCGAGGTCGACCGTGCGCAAAGCGTGTGTATGCAATGTCTCCTGGGAGTTGTAGTCCATGCGTGTAGTTGCGTTTGACTTGACTGTCTACGGATCCATGACCTAGGAAGATGCCCCAGCTGCGAGACCTAGGTTAACTAATTGAGAATTACAGGTGGGCTGTTTGAGGCTTCCCCCCCTTGTTTTAACCGTATCTTTGAAAGGCTATTGTTTTAAACAACGCTACCATCCGCTTGAACAAAAACCTGAAAGAAACCAGTGCTGAGTCATGTATTTATTACGTAGTATATAAATTGAGGAACTGCGGTACTTAAATCTAATGACATCTCCAGAATTTACATACTGGAAGTGTTTAGGGGCGGCAATATGGATGGTCAGAAGAGACTTTTTGCCTAGTCCTTCAGGAAAAACAGCAAATGTTATATGTTCCTATCAGACAATGGGGAACAAGTGGGTGGAGGGGCAGTGATGGAGACATAAGCATGGTCACTGCAGACATGTTACACAGAAGTGTTTCAGATTTGCAAGATGGTTCTGCCAAATTAAGAGAAAAAAATTCCAGGCCCCAAATTTCTTTACCTCAGATCTTAATTTTCTTGAGGGTCCAACTGGCCAATCAGGTGTTCTCCCAACCTCTGACTTGGCTGCCCAAAGCGGTCATGGAGTGCCACAGACTTACAAAGATGAGGCGCCTTCTTCTCTCTTTCCACGGCTGCCATCTCTTCTAGTCAAAGGGACAGCCGTTGCCAAGAAAGGCGGCTCTCCTACTTTTTTTTTTTTTTTTTTAAGCTCTTGGCCCAGCCCTAACAAAGACATTATGTATAGCCTTCCCCAGATTTTCACTATTATATAAGTAGCTTTCTTCTGGAAGTTGTAGGTTGGATAAAAGCTAAACAAAATGGGGAGCTTGTAATCTGAATGGGGTGATTATCTCACCAAATATATATTTTTATATATATGTATGAATGTATATAAAGGAGCCCTGGTGGAGCAGTGCTTAAGCACTCGGCTGCTAACTGAGAGGTCAGAGGTTCGAACCCACCAGACACTCTCTGGGAGAAAGATGTGGCAGTCTGCTTCCCTAAAGATTACAGCTTTGGAAACCTTATGGGGCAATTCTACTATGTCCTATAGGGTCACTATGAGTTGAAATCGACTTGATGGCAATCGGTATGAATGTATACAAATACTCAAGCTATTTACCATGCCCTGTGGGGCCATACATAATCTTGCCCCTGCATACCTCTTCTACCCTATTTGGTACCATGTCACCTTCACTAACTGGCTTCTAGTCAATGGCCTTCTTTATAGTCCTCAACCAAGCCAAACTCATAGCTGCCTCAGGGCCTTTGCTCTTGCTCTTCCTGCTACTCACTAGAATGTAATTCCATTATCTGAGGGTCCTTGTTTGTGTTCTTCATGGCTCTATCCCCAGAACATAGGGGCACACAGTAAACATTTAAGTGAATATTTCACTAGATTCTAAACTCTTGAAGGGCAAGGACTATTTGCCATTTATTACCAGAATTCGATGCAATGCTTGGCACACAGTAAGGAAGTTTGTGGATGTCTACTGAATAAAGGAAGGAATGACTGAATGAGATCCATGTTTGTGGAATAAAATAATCATTGAATGAATGGAGTTCATAAACTAAAGAATGATTGAATGAATGGAGTTCACAAAATTGAGATCTGGGGTAAATAATCCAGTTTGGAATAATTTCTACTTTCACTGAAACATAAATATGTGTCACCTCAAAGCATTAGTCCTTTTCCCATTAACTTCTGACAGGGCTGTACTTACTTCGGGGATTCCCATCTCATTCTTTAAATGATGCTTTTTATACCTTTCTTAATACACCAAAAGTCCTGCCAACCATCCGCTCAAAGTCCATTTTTCCGTTATCCTAATTACTGTCATCATTAAACACTTTTGCAGTTCACAGTGTGCCAAGTACCCTCTCTCTGTTTCCATCTACGAGAGTTTTCATCAAAATTGATGAAAAAAAAGTGACTGAGTAAATCACTTCACATAGTGAATGGCATTTTGTCAAATATACAGAAACACACACACACACAAACTGATTTACTGGATAAACAAGATAGCCATCTGAATAATGGAATCACACCTTGCTGTCTTTCATGGCCCATGAGAAAGAGCAGCCAGGAGAGCGCTGGAGTCTGAGAAGCCCTCTGCTTTGGCATTTATATCTATGCCAGTTGTGCTAAAGGTAATTCTTTCAAGCACACACACCACTACCAAATCCTAGCCAGGCTGTCAGGTAATTCTGCCCTAAGGACAAACTTTTTAAAATAGCATGTCAACCCCTATTCCTTGCCTCGTCAAACTCCTTCAGACTTTTCCTACCTTTCATTGTCAGGGCATATATTATCTAATTTCCGTGTCACTCACAAGAACCAGTTGAATGGGATAAGCAGGAACATAAGATGTGACTCTAAAGTTCGTAACCTCGGCTCCAACCAGGCTGCTGTTTTCACAGGGAAATGATACGGGTGCCTTGAGTTTCTGGCAAATGAGTTTCCTGCAAATGAGTTGCTCAGCCAAGCACAATGCAAATAGAATCCTTTCTCAAAACTCTTTTGCACTTCCTGGAAAGGAGAAGAGACAGGGCCTCAGGTTTCCTTGAATCATGTATTCCAAAGCCGGCTCTAAACAGTGGCACTCCGGTGGGGAAGCCAGGACAGGGTAATTTGAAAAACATCTTCCCCTGCCCTCCCCCAGGAGCATGATCCACATTTGACATGTTGTTAGACTTTAAAAGACCTAGGAATTTTCTTCCTTAACAGGGTTAACATTCCTAGCACTTCACGGATTCCTGGGAGGTCAGTTGTCATTCTCAGAGGAGAATAAGTGGTAAAAATACCATCTGTTCTCCCAGGGCACCTCTGTGGCATTAGGAAAGAGCTCTGTACTGGAGTCACCCCCAGCTCCTAGGAGCTTCATAGCTCCTTCGAAAAAGCAAAAAAAAAAAAAAAAGCATGAATTCCCCAGTGAGATTTTTCTGCCAGACTGGTACACTGATTACTCCAGATTCCTCTTTGCTAACCTACTCAAAAGGAGCACTAATTCATTTATGGCACAGTTTCTCTACCTCAGCAGTACTGACATTTTGGGCTCAATAATTCTTTGTTGTAGGGGGCTGTCCCAGGCATTGCGGGGTATAAGCAGCATCCCTGCCTTCTACCCACTAGATGCCATAGCACGCACCTCCCCAGCTGGGACAACCAAAAATGCCTCCAGCCGTTGCCAAATGTCTCCCAGGGGATATAATCGCCTCCAGTTCAGAAACACCGGTTTCGTGCAAGTGAACAAATATTTGGTGACTGCTTGTTATGTCCAAGGGACCAGACTAAGGACAAAAAAAAAAAAAAGCCAGTGCCTTCACAGCAGTCACTGTCTACTATGAGGGTCAAAATAAGTATAGAGAGAATGTAAGCACCATCAGTTCAAATAAAGGAGGGTGCTGGGGAAGAGAAATGGGCCTCGCTGGGGTAGCGGGGACACTCCAGGGCATTTCATGAAGAAAGGTGACATTTGTGAGAGCACTGAACAGACAGACTGTGAGCATAAGGAGGAGGTCTGGCCATTCCAAGAAGAAACAGAAGCACAACGAATGCAGTGTGACTGGAGAAATCCAGGTAGGATAGTGCAACAATTCTGTCTTAGTCATCTAGTGCTGCTATAACAGAAATACCACAAGTGGATGGTTTTAACAAAGAGTTTATTTCCTTACAGTAAAGTAGGCTAAAAGTCCGAATTCAGGGTGTCAGTTCCAGGGGAAGGCTTTCTCTCTCTGTCAGCCCTCTCATCAATCTTCCCCCGGACTAGGAACTTCTCAGCGCAGGGACCCCAGGTCCAAAGGACACACTCTGCTCCTGGCGCTGCTTTCTTGGTGGTATGAGGTCCCACTGTCTCTCTGCTCACTTCTCTCTTTTATATTTCAAGAAATCGCCTCAGGACACAATCCAATCTTGTAGATTGAGTCCTGCCTCACTAACACAACCGCCACCCATCCTCCCTCATTAACATCGAGGCAGGATTTACAACATATAGGAAAATCACACAATACCAGGAATCATGGTCCAGCCAAATTGATACTAACATTTTTTGGGGAACATAATTCAATCCATGACACCATCTTAGGGTTTGAATGAGGAATCTTGAGAAGTAGGGCTGGGAAAATAGTATAGGATCTATTTAGCCACAAAAAGGAATTAAGTACTGATACATGCTACAACACGGATGAACCCTGAAAACATGTTAAGTGAAAGAAGCCAGTCACAAAAGGATTCCATTTATATGAAATAACCACAATAGGTTAATTCATACAGACAGAAAGCAGATTGGTGGTTGCCAGGGGCTGGAGGGAGAGGGGAATGGGGAATGACTGCTAATGGGTCCAGGATTTCCTTCAGGCCCATTAGAGCATTGCATTCTCCTAGTCACAGTGATTAGTCCAGACAGAAGTCATATGAGGCAAGCCAGGCCAGTGAGACTTGATTCTGGGACTTTTGCTAAAAGTATTAACCCATTGCCCTCAAGTCAATTCTGGCTCATAGCAACCCTAGAGGGCAGAGTAGAACTGCCTCATAGGGTTTCCAAGGAGCGGCTGGTGGATTTGAACTGCTGACCTTCTGGTTACCAGTCAAGCTCTTAAACACTGCGCCACCAGGGCTCCACAGGGTAGAACTTCCCCACAGGGTTTCCAAGGCTGTAAACCTTTAGGGAAGCAGATTGCCACATCTTTCTCCCCTTGAGAGGCTGGCTGGTAGGTTCGAAACACCAACCTTTGGTTAGCAGACCAGCGCTTAACCACTGTACTACCAGGGCTCTGCTGAAAGTATTAGGAAGGAGAA